TGACTTGTGTACTTACATTATCCCAAATGTTTCGAAGAATGTTTAAATCCAGAGAAATAAGCAATTTTAACTAGTGATACGGAGCGTGTCTATAGTGTCATTGTGTCGTCATAACCTCTCGATTTCTGTTTTGTTTTGTAGAAAACATGGAAACACCAAAGACACTTTAATATGCTGTGTGTTTTAATAGACCGGTGACGACCGCACAGAGTAGCATTATAACTTTCAAACGTATCTAGTATGATAAGACAGCGCTGCTTTACCCCACATACGCACGAATCACAGGTTCATCAAGTTCGTTGAAATTATCCATCCTCGATCACTTTTAGTCAGCTTTGACGAAACTCCTCTCAGCTAGCACGTCTTTTCAAAGTGAAATTAGCCTTGTCACCTGACCTGAATACAGTGCGCTGATTCGCTAAAATGGACTTATCAGCTTCTGTTTAAAAACAAGGGCACGTGTCGGCTTCAGCAGAAAAATTTGAACTCGCGATGCCTTGAAAGTGGACTATACCGGCTTTTTTGACAAAACGTTGTTAGGGTTCAGATCACACTATATGTGGAGAATAACGCATGGCAATCAGCTCATTTTGTTTTTGAAAGTGGCGTTTTTGCAAATTAACTCTTCATATATATAATTTGAAAAACCTTCATCCTTATTTTGTGAAAACCTATGTTTAATGATATTTTTTAACTTTGCATTATCAAATGAGATACTATTAGGCCTTTTTTGCAAATCAGCAGAATTTTTTTCAAGATGCAGGGCTGATATCTTTGTTTTATTTCAAACTTTGAAAAATCCTTTTACGCAGTGCATGGAAGAAAGCAGCAACATGCGAGGACTGACCATAGACTGTAAAAAAAGACGGACGACGCGTCTCCTATACCTTCCACTATAGAAAAGTGAAGCCAAAGCATCTCAGTATGGCCGCTGCCATCTTGAGTAAATGACGTCATTTGGAGCCCGAGTCTGCGCAGTAGAGATTCGTTTGGAGCCAGAGTCTGCACAGTAGTGTTGTGAGGTGGAGCCGCGGTATCAAACTCCCGCCCAAACTCCCACAGACCCAATCAGCCATAACGACACGCCCCGTTTTTATAGCATCAAATTATTAGCTAAAATCAAACTTATCACAAAAACGAACAATTGAACATATATCAGTATGATAACAACTACCTTAAATTACCAAAACCATCTTTCGGAAAATTGTATTGGAAGTGTAATTAATTTTTTTTATCTTGACTCAAGTCCCATTCGTTTACATGGAGAGGGTGGGGTTTATGACCTGTACACTGCAGCCAGCCACCAGGGGGCGATCAAAGAGCCCGCAGCTTCACTTTTTAGGACATGTGAGGCAAGGTTATTTTCGTAAACGAAAACTAAGACTAAAACGATTGATGAAAAAACAATTTCGTAAACTGAAATAAATACACGCCCTCTAGCGGCGAAAATTACATATTGTGCCTTTAAATGCGCATAAAAACCTGAGCGCTCAATTGAGTCGGATACATTTTATATCTGATAAGAAAGCATGCATATGCATAAACAAAATGTGAAAATTTCACACAAAAAACTACAACACTGAATAAGTTCCTCAATACGCAACCATAAACTCATGTGGATAAATGAACAATCTCATCGCAAACCATCTCAAATGTTGTTAATAATTCTGAAATGCCTGAGCAAAAGTCCGTCATCAAAATGATTTTGTATAATCACCTCCCATAACTGTCTCACATGACTGCTTTCTCAAACATCAGGCATCCGAATGCGAGATAACATGACAGCGTTTGTTATTGCGTTTCATCTGCAAGCTCTGAGACACGTCGTTTATTATTTAGAAAAAAAGAGCCATGGTGTTCCTCGGTTGAAGCAATTTTCATTTTTATTATTGATACTTTGCAACAGTTTCCCAAAAAATGATAATTTTGTTCTCTTGAACACATGGGATGGAAACGGTGCTTTATTCGCAAATGTTTTATGCGATATTCTAACGTTAAATTTGCATGGAAACAGCTATATTTGCTGAATGAAATTCAATACTTTTTCTTGGTCATTTTGGGGCGTCTGTTTTGCTTGGGCACATCACACTTGTTCACAAAATGATGTTTTTAATACCATTTTTGCTTTTGTCAACCATTTCTAAGGTGAAGTCGTCTTGCATCATCCCATAACAAGCCGACAAACCAGACAAAGACATGATTTATGTCTGAATTTGAGCCAGATTACAAGTATTTGCTCAATTCTCAGCCCATTTTCACATGTATGACTTTATTTTCGGCCTAATGCTGATTTCAAGGTTAAAATTATGGCCGCTGACAGAAGAAAGCACAAACATGAGCCAGATGTTTTTCTACATTTGTGGGAGTTTTACTGCATCCAAACAGCCACAGAAATTTCAGATTTTGTGAAAAAAGCTTATTTATAAACTTGTTTATGTAAAGTTCTTTGGCATTAAATGGAGTATTTGTTCCACTCCTTTGCAGATCGTAAGTGAAACAATACATTTTGAATACTCTCTTTTGTCATTAAAACCAAAACTTTTGACATTTGCTTGCTTCTGTTATTTTGATCAGTGCATATATATATATATATATATATATATATATATATATATATATATATA